GGAAACCCGTGATTAGGTCGTGTATATTGCTACCCATTGGGGTGTGTTGGAGACAGCATCTATCCTCAATGGTTAGTCGTATGCACGATCCAATCTGTTCCTTCCAATCGACCCGTTCGCGCGGTGTTCTTTCGGAGGTCCACAGTTACAAAGCTTAAAATCTCCTTCCCAGATTGTGCAACCAAGAGATGTTCATTTAGGGATAATCTGAATAATTTAAGCACTAATTTCAGAGTAAATACACGAATTTTTAATCACCTCACAACACACTTTTACAAGAGAAAAACTAGCATGAGATCATCTTAACCCAGGAGAAGCTAAAGGACTCTAATAATAACATTAGGGTTTCAAGATAAAGCTGCATTAGCCATCAGATCCCTCACTAATACAATTCTCTCATATTTCATCATAGCTCATTCACTTCCAAATCACACTTTTAAAGGCAAAGGCACAACCCTCAAAGATTCTTGTTCATAATAAAGTATAAATGGCAATTGGTCGATGAGCCATCATCAATTTCAGCGAAATAATAGCATGTCCAAGATGAGAGAAAATAAGAAAAACATGACAATGATAAACGGCAATACAATATAGCCATGCCTATAACATTCTTTGAATGCTCATCCATGTATATTGCAAAGGGATGTATTTAAGACTGCATCAGAACATGAATTGGCCTTGAAGAACACGAGACAGGCTGTAATAATTTGTTGTTGTAATCAAAGAGTTAATGATGACAAGCTTAAATGGCGTATCCATAAAAGAATTCATGCTTCCATCATCCAATTGTATAAAATCCAACAAATGAAACATCGGAAAGAAAGAGATTTTACAAGAAAACCGTTACTCGCGATGAATTATCAGAAGATGCATGCAATTACTATACAAATAACAACCGAACTATCCAATATATGTATCCTAACCCTAACCCTAATCCTCATTGATAATAGAGAAAGGAGTGAGAGATTCTCACATTCTGTGTAGTGGACGTAATACTCGTAGTCATTGGTACCGCCGGAAGAAAGCTTTCGGCGCTCGATGACCTTGACCGGGTGGAGATTTTGGTCCCTCCATCTGCACATCACACGCGTTCCCACCTCCAACGGCAAACCCACCGCCTTGACCTTTTTTGACGCCGCCTCATCGATTCCTAAAGAAGTCGCCGAGGGTAGGTCTATTTCCGTCGTAAGCAACGTAGTGACCATCTGATGCGGTACCGGTGGCGGCTCCAACATTCTCTGCCTTAATTCCCTCGATAGAGCCCATCGACGGCCCACATAAGAAATCAAAAATATTTCTTGATTTTTATAAAGGATTAAAATAATCTCTAATTATATTAAAAGATTATTTTAATCTTTCAAACTTTTTAAAACATATTATTTTGATTCCATTTTGAGAAATTTAACAGTTTTAAAAAATTTTAAAGATAATTTTAATCATTTTTAAAAAAAATATATATTTATTTGAATGATAGGTTTGTTCTCTTTTTTTTTTAAGTATACCTAAAAAATATGTTAATGCATCTAGTTTGGCCAATGAACGTGTTGTTTCAACTTAAATGCAAGATTATGCCCTAACTTTTAATTTGTTGTGTTGGATAAAATTAGAGAGAATTGTCTGAGCGGCTTTTTGATGATTTGATTAGAAGAGTAATTATATTAGATCCGACCTATATTAATAAATTTAGATATAAATCTAAAAAATCTTGATTAGAAAGTCTTGAAAATGGTCATTTTTTTATAAAATTTAAATAACAATTAGACTATTTGATAAGATACAAAGAAGAAAAAAATTCATATA